GAATTAAAAATACAGCCTAACAATACCAATAGAGAGAAATTAGAAACTCTTCTAAATAACAAAGATGAAAAACTGATTCTCAAAATATCAAAATACATTCACAAATGTTTTCTTATGAGAAAAGAAAATATACAGAGATTGCCAGCTGCCCTGAAAATATAATGCATTCTTACATTTATATGTAAACTATTTATTTACTACTTTGTCAAAGACTTTTTTTTTAATAGTTATTTTTTCTTATTCGGTTATACTTTTATTTATTGTTGTTGTATTTTAAATTTATATTTTCTGTATCCTTTAATCTTTATTGTATGTTAGTCCAGATCTCAATGGAGATAGGTTGACAATAAAGTTATTACATACATAATTTTTCTATGGGCTCCACCACATGACCAATTTTACTGAAATGACGACTCAAATTGTATATTATGTGACATAGCCATGTGTAGGGTCACCTCTGTCTGTGCAATTGTGTCTAAGATTTGATCATCTCTATGTTGTTATATTCAAAATCACAGATATGCTCGCCTTCAAAAATACAAAATATATTCAGGTTTATTTACATATTTATGCAGAGGGACAGATCTGATTGTATTTCTTTGCAGTAAAAAAATTGGCGTATAATATTGGTGAAAGGTGTCTTATATAACTACATGTATACACCAGAGTTTGGTGTGTTTTATACAAGTCTCATCTAATCAAAAAGACTTGACTTGGCAAGCCAGTTCTCATCATTGAAGTGTTCACGAATAAAGTGTTAAGGCCAGTCCACAAGATCCAATTTTTTTGATGTTAAAATAGGTGTTTCTACAATCCAATTTATCTGAACAGATCAATCTGATCATACAGCTTAGATTAAATGAACATGCTTGTAACTGCGATTTAAGTTTATAAATATTTATGTTTATAAATAGTTTACAAAATTACACTGAATTCAACAAAGCTATGTACGATACATTATTAACTATTTGTAAATGTTTATTAGTCTTTGTTTGAACAAACAAAATGGTGACATAAATTCAAACTTCATCAGTTTGTCTGTCCATAGTCATATTTCACAACCCTCTGTTCTGTGCATAATACTTTATGTGTGACAAATGCACATCTAATTTGATTCAAAATCACCAACTGGCAAACATTTTTTGTTATGGTCAGTTTTCATTAAAATTTGATAGAAGTTGTATCGTGAAGATGCATATTCATGCCAATCTGTTTTATTATCATAAAAAAATGTTCAACTGGCAGCCATCTTGTGTTTTTTTGTTGGAAAAATCATGAACATGCTAAGTTGTTAAAATTTGATGTCAGTTTGTTTCATAATCAGATCAAAGATATCCGACTGGCAGCCATTTGACCATGACCAATATATCTGTCACCAGTGTACTGTTTATTTCTTTGGCCATTGTCTCATCATTGTACTTTGGCAGAAATCCCACTATAAACCTGTATTAACTGTTGACAAAAGCAAATACAATAACACATGCGTTTACATGGTAAATGAAATGCAAAGTGGTGTGATATAAGCTGTGGTGTGTTATAAGACTGTAATGCAAATTGATGGATGCAGCTTATTGCATCCAATCAAATCAATAAATTTAAATTTATGTCAAATTCTGCTTTCGCTGAAACGATCAAGCATGGGTTCACAAGGACGGCCATGGAAATCGAACGATGCATTTTCATTAATATTTAGCACATGTTTCATAAATACATGTAATTTCATTGAAGATGGCCATCTGGCATCCATTTTTCATTTTGGTATGTACATTTTACGAGTATTGATACATATGCATGATGGTTCTTTATTTGACTGAATCAAAGATGGTCTACTGCTGGTAATCTTGCATTTTAGCCGGGCTACTGTACTCTGATATCCAGGTACCGTTCATGTTTTTTGTCACAGCATAATACAATGTACATGTCAATTAGTTTGTAGTCGATCAATTTGTTCTCTAATATGTTCATAGATCACTTAGGATAACATAGTGAGTCTGATTGCAAATGAATTGATAAATTGCAAAATTTCATCTTGAGAAGTATTTTAGCTTGTACAGATTACAATTAGGAGTGTGATGAAATTTTAACTGACACAAGTTGTATACTGCTAAAGGATCGCCAATAAGTGACTGTACATGTATATGTCATATTTCAATCAATTTAGATAAGTCTGATATTCCATGGACATGCATCTGGAGTCAAATATATTATCTTGTATATTATCAGAGATGTTCTGCTTAAAAGTAGAATTTTAAATACAATGTATGATTGTTTTTGTGCTATGCTCATTTCTCATGAAATTGTGAAGTGGCCTAATTTGCCGCCATGAAAACACTGTCATTGGATAAACCCATAATAAATACTAGTAATTTGAGTAAAACGGCAAGAATATATACAAATATATATATATATATATAAGTAATATCATATAAAATTTTGACAGTGTTCTATTCGATTAGGCAATTTTAAAGTCAATTAATAAATTTGTTGATATTAGTCAAGACTGACTTTGCAGCCATCTTGCTTTTTGGCCATATTATCTTGAGCATGAATAACATTTTTCCTAATTGCAACAGGGACTATGTATGTCATATTGTATGGCTGTTTGAATTGATGTTGATTGTTGTGCTTAGCACCTGCATGAATAATCTAAGCATTTTGTTATATTTTTAGTATATCTAAATATTTATATATATTTTTTTTTATATATAGATAAGTTCTTGGGATGGAAGATAAATTAGACAAGTCATCTCTGGATTATCTTGATAAATTCTTTCCATCAGAACTTTTAGCAGGATTTGAAGAACTCAGAAAACATGGTACTCTAACTGATGTAGTACTGAGAGTTCAGGATGAAGAGTTCCATTGTCACCGCACACTCCTTGCTGTTAGTAGTCCGTACTTTAGAGCAATGTTTACTGGAGGTATGCTTGAGAGCTCAGCCAATAATGTGACCATCCACAATATAGAATCTAACACTATGAAGACCGTCCTGGATTATATTTACTCAGGTCGTGTTTCTATAACAATGAACACAAGCCAACAACTGTTGGATGCAGCTAGTCTGTTTCAGTTTCCAAGATTGATAGAAGCATGTGCATCATTTCTCCAAGGTGAACTGCAACCTAGCAACTGCATCAATGTTTATCATTTGGCTGAATTGTATGGATGTTCTACTTTAGCCGAGGTAGCCAGAAATTTCACACTGAGACATTTCATTGACGTTACACACTACAGCGAGTTCTTACAGTTGTCTGTGGATCAGTTGAGATGCTTCTTACAAGATGATCAGTTAGTGTATGCAGGAATAGATAATCTGATCAGAGCCATCAAAACATGGATAGAATATGATGAAACAAGAAGTAATTATACCAAGGAATTATTGGAAATGTGGAAAGAACCAAGCCAAGTGTTGAATGAAATACAGCACTCAACAAATGTTAACAAACTTTCCAACTATGAAGTTATGTTATTATTTGGTGATTATTGGGAAATACCAGGCAAATCACTTTCTAAATGCCCTGTGAAATGTTATGATCCAGTCAGAAAAGTCTTCTATGCATTGGAATCAGTTCCGAACACTGTTGCAGCAAGAGATTACATGAATGCTGCTGCTGTAGATGACGCAGTAGTAGTTGGCATGAGAACAGGGAAGTTTATGGTTTACTACCCATCTAGTGGTAAGTGGGAGATGGTTGCCAAGTATCTTGTGACTCCATTGTTTGGTAATACCATAGTTGCTATGGGTAACAATGTTTACATCTCTGGAAGAGATGGGCATTTCTTTTGTTATAATATGGAGACAAAGAAACTAGTAAGCAAAGCAGATCTGTTATCCCCAGTTAGAAACTGCTGCATGATAACACTCGGTGGTAGAGTATACGTGCTAGGAGGGAACACAAGTGGAGATTTATATGCAACAGGCGTTGATTTAGTTCAGTGTTACAACCCAGTCAATGATAAATGGCAACTTTGTAGCCCACTACCAGAAAAGTGTACAAATTGTGCTGCAGTTGTCTTGAATGGGTTAATCTACGTGATTGGTGCTAACTGTAGAGAGCATTCAGAATCAACCAATAGAGTTTATCGGTACAACCAAACAACAGACTCGTGGTGCAGGATTGCTGATTTTACTATACCTCGTCAGTGTTTTGGTGCAGTGGTTTGCAACGGGAAGATATACATCACAGGAGGAGTTGATGTAATCGGGAATCAATCGCAGCATGAAATACCTGTACAGGAAGTTGAATGTTATGATCCAGTCACAGATGAATGGAGCATTGTAGATACATTGTCAATTTCTATTGCAAATCATACCTGTATTGCCCTACCATGGTCAAAAACAAACCCAGAACTGGGGTTAGGCAGTGAAGAATAAACTGCGTGATCAGGAAAAGCACTACCGTATTCACGCATCTCAAACAGAAGCACATTTGCTTGTATACTGATTAAGTCAGTAAAACATTCTTTTTTAATCATGCATGCTATACACAGATAAGTCATGATTTCACGTTGGTAATGCACAGGCGGTTTCTATGACGACACTTGAAATTCCCCTGAAAACTGCTTGAATGAAGAAAATTTTTTTCTTGCATTAATCAATGCTCATCAATTACTTTTCTGAGAACTTTTGAAAAGTTAACATTCATTCATTTGTATAATATGTACCGTATGTAAATCGAACAAAAATATATCATGTTTTATTTGACATTTTCTTTTGGCAGTTTTCCTATTCTGAATTAATAGCGAAGGAACAAGTGTTCTATGGTTATAAATTTGTTATGTGTTAGCTCACAGGAATGTAGCGACAATGGCTTTGTGTTGTGCCAATGTTTGAAGGATGTATTTATCTTATAATTGAATGTACTGGTAATGCCAATTTTAATTTAAAAACTCACATTTTGATGACTATTTCAAATTTGGGATGATTGGTTTTAGTGTTTAGAAAGTCGTAAATGCAAGTACGACAAAAATCATCAAAATTGATCTGCAACTAATTATTAGAGTTAAGGTATCTAACTACTGTAATTCGCTTGGAATTTATTTTTGCTGAAGCAATGATTCAGTAAATATACCTTTTTTTCTATATTTTACATTCAACTCATCAAAAGTCAGTGAAAATAAATTCCACACAAATCACCCAAAAAGTCTTTTCAGCGAAAATTAATTGCAGCGAAAATAAAGTATTCTACAGTACCTTGAAGCATGATGGTTAATTGGATTAATTATTAGTTTATATTCTTACTGGACGCATGTAGCCGGTAACAGCCACTGGTGGCGCTGTATACAATCAAAACCTATTGAGGCTTGCCTGCACTCATTCAGATTTGAGTGTAAAAGCCAGAAACTGGTTAAAATTTGGGGATCATATTTAGTATGATAGAAAGCGTGTACAGTCATCAAATTAGATAGAGTTGGGGGGGGGGGGTTAAGACCGAATATTCGTGATTCCTGCATTCATAATAAATGCTTTCTATTAATAATTGCACTTTCAAATAATATTCATGAATTATGTCTACGTCATAACTTTGTTAAAGTTTATTAGCATATTGTGTACGCAGTGCGCATGTTTTAGTTCCTTTTTTCGTATTCCACAATCACTGCGTCATCAGTTTGGTCAATTGCAATTTGACAAACCTCATTGAGGGTGCTGATCGTTATTTGTATTTGAAGCCCACACACATAAGCAAAGCTACCAGATATACACAAGCTAACAAGCCACACTAACCCAGCAACTGCATGCTCAGCAAAAGATTTGTACACATTTCTACAATGTCATACTCTGTAATATGCAATTGCAATTCTGGTTCCCCAATAACTATGGGTTAAAGAGACAATGTGCAACAGCAGACAGATTAGTTGATTAAACAAGAACAATAGTATTCTATGATTCCATGGTACAATTCCAGGTAATGTTTTTTTACTTCTATGTCAAACTGTTTTGTCAAAAGAGGGCATGACTGTGTACGAGATAGACTTTTATTTTGTTTTGAGAGTTCCAATCCATTCATTGGATTAATTTGTGTCAACAGAATTGAGTCCTTGTGAAATAAGGTCTGCATCTAAATACACTTTACAAAATTTCTTTCATTGTTTTTGATTCTTTCCTATGTTTTGATTTGCCATTTACTTTTATTGTGATTATGACTTGTGCAAACACGATATGATAAATTTCACAACATGGGGAGACTGATGGTTCCCATGGTTTTTATTTAAATAACCATACTCTGGAAAATTAAATGGTTGACCTGCACAACAAAAATTTCAGTTTTGTGATTGTCATGTGCATATCAAAGAGTACATTAATGCATGAATTTGTTATATTCATGGTACTAAATAAAGTGATGAAATAAATTGAAGTGAACTCAACTCATTGTAACTGGTAGGTAAAGCTGAAACTGTGTGCATTGCTTGATAACTCATTTCCTGTTTAGTAGTATACATGCATGCATGAACATGTCAATGACGTAATCCCCATTTGCATCACAGATATGTATATAAATGACCTACCGTAATGTGTCATGTATGTGTGAAGTTTGAACTTGTTTAAGTATAGACCTTAGAAAACAGGGACATGCAACTTTTGAGACCAAAGAAAATCCAACTTCCTGCGTGCAATGTGGGTTATAATTTTCAGTATAGATAATCCCATTATTGCATAAACCTTAGTAGTAGAATTATACATTTGAAACATTTGTTTTAGTTACTTTTTTACACATTTGATAAGTTGTGCTGTGCCAATATTTACATTTTTCAGTGTATAACGGGTGGACTATGCTATATCGGTTTAAAATATGTTGAAAAATCCACTTGTTATAATGACACAAATTTTGACAGGCCATTTTTGACTCCCGTGTGTGAAGCACAAAAAGGGAGTCTTTGCAGTTAGTGTGTC